AAGAGAGGAGTGAGGGTATATAAGAGCAAAACCCTGCAGCCCTGCAGGTCAGTGTGGAAAGCGTGGGAGGAGACGCTCCAAATGCCAGAACAGGGATCCCCCTGCAGTCCCTGTGGCAGCTCATGGTGAGGCAGATGTGCTCCTGCAGCCCATGGGGGTCCAGAGGTAGAAGAGACCCACCTACAGCCCCTGGAGGTCCATGTGGGAGCAGAGACCCACCTTCAGCCCATGGAGGAGGCCATGCAAGACCACAGGAAGAGTGAGAGGACCCTCCCTCTCAGGAGGAAGGAGTAGCAGAGACAAGGTGTGATGAATTGACCCCATTCACTGTCCCCTGCACCGCTGAGGGGAGGAGGGAGAGAATTCAGGAGTGAAGTTAAGCCTGGGAAGGAGGGAGGGGTGTTGGGAAGATTTTAAGATTTGGTTTTATGTCTCATTACCCTACTTGATTTGATTGGTAATAAATTAAACTAATTTCCCCAAACTGAGTCTGTTTTGCCCATAGCAATAATTGTTGAGTGAGCTCTCCCTGTCCTTATCCAACCCATAAGCATTTCGTTATATCTTGTCTCCCCTGCCCAGTTGAGGGGGGAGTGATGGGGCAGCTTTGATGGGCAGCCGGTGTCCAGCCAGAGTCATCCCAGCACAAATTCCCAGGTGAGTTTTCTCCCTCCCTGAAGGAGGGAGAAAGCCCCTGGCTGGACACCAAACCCCAGAAGAGATACCAGCACTACCAGGTAGAATATCAGGAATCAGAGCCAGACCAGGTTTCTGGCAGGCTGCCCACTACAGAGGTGTGTGACAGTTCCTTTTGCATGGCAGCTGGTCACTGCAGAGCAGTTTTCACTTTGGAGTGCAGTGTTTGCCCAGTGCTCCTCGTTGTCTTGCTGATGGGGGTTAGCTTTTCTGCCCCACATTCAGTGCTTTGTGCATTTATCTGAGCAATAACAAATAAACTTCTTCCCCAGGGGTGGGCTTTGATATTGCCGCTCAGGAACTTCCATCAGTTGTGTGTTCACTGACCATGACAGTACTGGATATTTTTGCTATTGATAGACCTGTTAGATCCTTTTTCAGCTTCACCAGACTGAAAAGGTACAGCTTTGCTGCTTTCATGTGGTATAAATGATCTGGGAAAGGGCTGAGTGGTAACACTGTTATCAATACATTGACACACAGGAAACCCACATTTCAAACACCAGATGGTGTCTAGTTGTCCCATCTTAAAAGGGTATAAAGAAATGATCAGCTGGGAAAGATGACCAGAGTCTGCCCTGTCGCAGATGGTGCAGTGCAGATACACAGCAAACTGTTATTAACTGTTTCTTACAATAGAAACTAGGAAGTGCCAGAAGAAATAATTGGGCATCTGGTCTAAATGCAACAGAATAAATTACTTTTCACATTGCACATAATTACATGGCAGAACTCTTGACTTCACAATACCCTGTGATAATAAAAAATATAAATATCAGTTCTTGGGCATACTGAATTCCTCAAATCCAATTTTGCAGCGGATGGTTAAAAAAAATGCCATCACAAAATAAACACAAAAGGAGGATCAGGAACTATTAATGGTTAGTGGATATTAATGATTAGCAGAGTGGCTCTCCATATTTTATAAAGTTCATAAAGTCTCAAAGTGCTCATATCTGCAGCTTGGTCATGGGTCTGAGCCCATTCCTTGGGCAACTGAGGACTTTTCTGTAGCAGCTTTATAGGAAATATCTGTGATTTGCTGTACCTTTGCCCTCCATTATTATTATCACAGGGAATCAATGAATTAATTCCACCTCCATGGAGGAGAAATAGGATACAGAAGCCAGCACATGCACATGGCTGAGTAGATGGGAATGAACCCTCACAAAAACCTTGGATGTTTTCTTCCAGTGAACATGGCAGCAGTTGAGCAGCAGCCACGGCAACCCCAGTGAGAAGACATGGTAGGCAGGCATGGGACTGGTTGGGAGATGGGCTCTGGCAGTACCGGGGCAGGTCTGGCATGTGCACTCTCCCCAGCCCTCCTTTAGACCAGCCAGCAGCAGGTTGAAGGAAAATGCTCACCCGGAAAAGGCCACCTGAGTCACAGCAGCAGCTGCCAGCTGCTTCCATAGGCACAGTCAGGTCACAGCTGGCCATGGGAGGCTCTGCAGCCAGGATTTCAATGGGGACAGCACCGTTCTGCCACTCTCTAGGGGCACACACAGGCAGAACTGGACTCGTGCAGACTTGCTGTGTCAGAGAGAGGAATGGAGGACACAGAGATTTGCACATTCCATAAACTTGCTGATTTAGGGGAAATAATTCCAAGAGTGTTGTGTCCTGTGAAGGGAACAGTCACAGAGGTCCAGGACCCAGCTATTGCAGGTCACGTCATGTTAATTCCTTTCATAAATCTGTAAATGCCACCTCATGCTAGTTAAAAGCTGACTAAGGTTTAGATTAGGGACAAAAAATCCACGCATCCTTTGTGGGTTTCATTTAATCAATAACATTCATACACTACACAGTATGGGGCAGATTCTGCACAGGCGTATCATCAGTCCAAACCTTTCCCAGCTCCAGAGTGCCATGGACATAAACACAGAGGTCAATTCCAGAGGTGCTGGCAGCCCTTGCCAGTGTATTCAGTACTGGGCAGAGGAAGACGACAGCAGGGTGATGTGATGCAGATACAGGAGACTCCTGCATCGTGGTCAGGACATTTCCTTGCTGCCAGCACTTCTCCAAGAACCTCACATTTGCTTGGGGCAGGCTGAGACTCCAGGGCCCATAGCCCAGGCTGCAGAGGTGAGGATGGGATCTCAAGCCTGCTGCTGGATTTCCCCACTGAATTCCAAGTAAAAGGCACCACAAGGCATATAACACAATTTAGATGTTTTAGTTCCTGATTTGTGATTGCAAATTGAATTTTGCCCGGCCAAAACCCCAAACACTCAAATGATAATTAAATGGGTATGGAAAGTTTGCTCTCTCAGTATTTATTATTTATAGATTGAACCCACAAATACAGATTTGCGTCCCCTTCTCCCAAAGCAGACCGTGCTTCTCCCTGTGCGCAGTTCCTGGGCTCACAGAGTTGTCCTGAGTGGCATAGCATGTCCTTCCCTGTGTCCAGCACAACTGATCCAGAGTGTGTGAAGCCTGGGAATGCCATTCAGCCAACAGTGGTTACTCAGGGTGGTCAGACAAAATTTCCCAATCACAGCATGATTCTCCTCCTGTCCGAGCAATAGGGCTACAGCCTGAAGCCTGTCCTGTCCTAGGGAAAGGACATAGAAACCAAACTCCTTGCAATTGGCTTTGGGGGGATGCAGAATAAACTGTCACACAGTGCTAATGCTGTCAAAAAAAATCATTGCCCACTGATACCTAAAATTGACAGTACTGAGCTTTCCAAATAACGTCTTTTAAAAGTTGTCACATCCTCTTTATCTGAGCACTCCTGTGCAGGCCAGAGCAATGCTGGGCAAGCCAGGGATCCTTGGCTGGTAGGTAGGCCATGGAGCAGTTAACATTAACATCAACAGCTAGCTCTGCGTTAACCATGTGGTTATCAGAGTGACCAAATGAGAATGGGTCTTGCAGAGAAGAGACAACTGGCAATCTGTTCCTGTAAAACCTCTTGCAGTTGCCAGGTCTACTCTTGTCTTTCCTGAAGTTCCCTCTCCAGCATGCAGATAGAGGGAGAAGGAGCCTTCTAACAGGACTCTACTGGGAAAGCAATAGTTGGCTCACCCTGCTCCCCACCACTGTGGACTGCAGCAGCAATTAAGTTCAGCACAGGAAGGAGGCAGGCTCCTGATGCATGAAGAGTGCCTGAAAAGCAGCATTAAACAACCTAGGTGGGGCCATTTTGACCATCCAACCTGCCATGGAGCTGCAGAGTTAACATAAGTCCTGCTAGGCTTCAATGTCCACTTGGCTGGAACTTGTCCCTTGCACAAAGACACTGCAGATTAAATCCTTCCCACAACTACCTTGGTCTTCCACAGCTCTCCCCAAAGCACAGACTGATTCTCCTATACCTAGGAAAGACCTCCTGCGGTGACCAGGAAATACTTTTAGGGGCCTCAGTGCACTGAACTATGCATGTATGTGCCCACATCTGCACACATGCAAACACTGATGTACCTTTGCTGTGGGCTGACCTCATCCAGGGCATGGTCTAAACTCCTATTTGGCTCCAGCTGTGCTACATGACCAGGACAATGCAGGCTGCAGCCAAGGACATCAGCTGGGCAGGGAGGAGCCTCAGGAGCCCCCAAGTCTGCCCAAAGCCACAGCTAGGCAGAGCCACCTTAGGAACCATAGATTCCCACCAAGATTCTCCTTCCTGTAAGTTACTGCACTCCTGTGAGGCAATAGAGGATGGTTTGGGTTCGTTTTCTTATTTCCCTACCACTTCACTAGCCCAGTGCTGCCTCTCCTGGGAATGGGACACAGCCCATGCCTGTGTCTTCATGTGCGCATGGAGCAGCACCCTGGAGGGGCCAGAGCACCCCCAGCTGCAGAGGAGCTGTGGGACTGTGCTGCAGCATCAGCTCTAATGTCGGCAGCTATCAGCGCCCAGCAGTCGTGACACCAGTGAGCCGATGGTGCTCACTAGGTGTGATCATGGCCCCACGGCCCAGGACACGTCCCTGATTGTGGAGCCTCTCGCGCTGGAGAGAGTGGCTGCTGGGAACTACTGGGGGTCCAGCACGGGGAGAGTGGGCGCTGGGAGTCACTGGGGGTGCAGCATGGCGGGGCACCGGGGGGTTCTGGAGAACGATAGCGGGAGCGGCGCTGGTGGCTCCGGGGGTCCAGCACGAGGTGCGGGCGGTACCGGCGGTTTGGGGGGCGGCTCGGGGGGCGGTGCTGGTGATCCGGGGGTACGGCTCGGGGGGCCGGGCTGGGAGGCGGTGCCGGAGCCGCTGCGGTGCAGCTCGGGGGCGGGCCGGGCCGGGCGGCCGTTCCGCCCCCCCCGCGCTGCGGCCGGGGCTCGGCCCCGCTCCGTCCCGCGGCGCAGGGAGCCGGGCCGGTGCCAGGGCTGCCGCCCGGCCGGGCCGCAGCCCCTGCCGCCATGGCCCGCGTCTCGGCGCTGCTCAGCCCCGTCCTGGTGCTCTTCGGCTGCGACCTCTGCCTCGTGCGAGCCAGTAAGTGCGGCCGGGCCGGGAGGGCACCGGGGCCACGCGTCGCTGCGGACCTGGCGCCCCCCGGGCGGGGGGACGCTGGCGGGCGCCCGCCCCTGCCGTGGGCTACGGCCCCCCGGACTCTCCCGCCGGTCTTCCCCCCGTCCCCGGCGTGGCCTTGGCCGCAGACCCCGGGCACCCCTCGGGCACCCCTCGGGCATCCCCGTGACGCCGCGGCCCCTGAGCCCCCCGTGCCTTCGGCCGTGTCGTGTCCCCTCCCCGCCGGACGGCTGCGGCCGCGCTGCCCTTCCCGGGGACTCCCGCCGCGGGCGCTCCGTGACCCGCGGAGCGCAGTCCCCGCATCCCGTCCTGCCCCGATGGAGCTCCTGCCCCGGGCTGCGGCGGGCTGCGGCCGGCCCCGCCTGGCGGGGATCCTGTCCCTTCCTGCCGGTGTTCGCCGGGACACCGAGCTCAGTGCACCCAGGGCACCGCTGTCCTTGTGCCCCTTGACTCGTCGGGATGACTCGCTGTCAGCAGCCGCCTCCTGCTGTCAGTTTGCCCCTCGTCAGGTTACTGAGATATTAAATCGAATTGCGAGTGCCAGACGCGTTCTGCTACATTCTGCCGTGTTTTCCGTCTCCTTGCAAGATACGTGCTGACGGATTCTGGAAGAGATGCAGTCAGGGGTGTTAAAAAGGGGCCACTTATTTTTAGATGTGCGGTCTGGTGCTTACTCCCTGCTGCAGCAGTAAGTTGGGCAAACATCTGGGTGCCCTTGAGCCGTAGCCCCAAGGGCACGGGCCGAGGGGCAGGGGTGATTCCCTCTCCATGTCACAGCAGGATGAGGAGGGCACCGATGGAGCTATGCCCTGTCCCTCTGCAGCACCACATCTGCCAGCATCCCTCGTCAGGGGTATTTGTCCAGCCCCTTTGCTAACCCATGGAGCCGAGCTGTGTGGCAGATCTGGTCCCGTGCCCAGCTACCGACTGACCATCCCTCCCACTGCCCACCAGCCATCCCTCCTGGTGCCCAAATGCAGGCTTGCAGTGCTACTGGCTTCTGCACACAGCCCAGGTCTTCCCACCCCTTAATCAGGCTTAAAAGGAGCACACTGCTGAACAGGCAGGACAAAACCTGCGCCAGGCCTTAAGTAAGTGACTGTGCTTTCTGTGGGATGCCCCTTTTGTAATACAGCTTTAATAAAAAGTGAAGCTGGACAAATTATAAATGATGCAGAATCATTAGTGGTTAATGCACTGAACAAGGCTAAACAGTGGCACACTTTTCCCAGAGAGCCCAGCTTGGCTTTATAGCCAGAACGTGGTTATCAGAGAGCATGTTTTTTGGAGCCCTTGCATTCACGGATCTTTATGGCAACAGCTCTGGCATGAAGCTACTCTGACCTCAGCTGCAGAGCTGGCTGGACAATGTTAGATGCTGTGTGGGGACCATACACAAAGCTTTGTCCTTTGGAGGTCTTGTTGTAACAACTTTCAGTGAGGTCTCATCTTGCATATCATAGAATCCGGGAATGGTTTGGGTTGGAAAGGACCTTAAAGACTATCTAATTCCACCCTTTCTGCCGTGAACAAGGGCACCTTCCACTAGACCAGGTTGTTCCAAGCCCCATCCAACTTGGCCTTCCAGGACAGGGGCAGCCACAGCTTCTATGGGCAACCTGTATCAGGGCCTCACCACCCTCACAGGCAAGTCTTTCTCCCCCATATCCCATCTAACCCTGCCCTCTGTCAGTGTGAAGCCATTCCCCCTTGTCCTGTCCCTCCAGGTCCTTGTCCAAAGTCCCCCTCCAGCTCTCTTGGAATTTTTAGGCACTAGCAGGGGCTCTGAGGTCTCCCCAGAGCCTTCTCTCCAGGCTGAACAACTACAGCTCTCCCAGCCTGGCTGCAGAGCAGAGGTCATTTGGATTAAGCATTGTCCTGTGTATGTAGGGTTAACTTCTCAGAAGTTTTGACTTCTGAGGCTTCCTGTCTTATCTTTTTCTGCCAGGAGTGCAAATCCCGTGTGCTCAGAAATGTATTTTCTGCAGTTCGCTCAGTGTCAAACTGACAAAGGAACACTGTTTTTTCCAATGCAGAACTGCAGCCTGGACACCAGGTCTCCTGTCACAGAGGTTCAGGGCTGTTGGCCTGGAGGCTGCACCAGTTGTGTTTGGGATGCATGAGGTCTGGCACACTGAGCCATGTGTGCTGTGGCTCTGCTGTGCCCCCGGATCCTCTCACCCTCCTGCTACCAGTGAGTGTTGCCTCTGCACGGGGCCTGTGCAAGCTCCGGCTAAGTACAGCTGGAGCAGTTCTGTCAGCCCCAGGTGGACCCAGCAGCATGGCTTGTGAATCAGTGCAGTGCCTTTGTTCTCAAATAATCGAGTGACAGTCCCAGGGCCGTGTCTCAGCATCCCCAGCCCAAAAACCTGGGCTGGGCCAGGCTGGGCTCCCTGCAGAAGCCTAGAAAATTCTTGCGCAGAGCTGGGAGCCTGCTACAAGCTCCATCCACAAACTTCTGTGTCACAGAGATGTCAGACCCTGTCTTTAATTTCCTCACATACACTTAAAGGCTGGGAGTCCAGTTGCCCCCATTGCGCATGTTCAGGACTCTTTTTAATTCTGTTAGATGTAAAAAGCCCCCTAATTTATTGCTGTAGATGTATCCTGTGGAGCACCATGTCCTGTTCTTGTCCCGAGGCCAGCTGGCAGGGTTTGGTCACATCCATAGTATTAAGCTCATGAGTTCCAAAGAGGGGGGCACGTCAGTGCTACCCGCCAGGAATGGTTTCTGGCTCGTGCTAGCTCCCAGGCCATGCCCAAGAGTGGTTTGGACACATCCTGGTTGGTGTAGATCAAATCAGTTCTCAAACGAATCTCCACCACTGGATTCTTGGGCTGTTCTGACCCCACTATGTTTGCTAGCACAGTGGTGCTGTACGACAACTGTTCTTACGCCTGAAGGCCAGCAGAACCATGCAGCCCCTCATACTCCCACACTTTGAAATGCCTGTGCCTGGGACAGCACGGGGGAGTGGTAGTTTGCCGGCTGACAGGGTGCTGCCACAGCTGGACTGTGAACTGTGCAGCTGACCTGACAGTGGTAATGGCTGGGGTGGAAAACCAGACCAGGCCCAGCAGAAAAGGACTTGGAGTGCTGGTCGACAGCAGCTGAACATGAGCCAGCATGTGCCCAGGTGGGCAAGAAAGCCAAGGGCACACAGGCTTGTGTCAGCAATACTGTGGCCAGCAGGACCAGGACAGTGGCTGTCCCCCTGTGCTGGGCACTGGTAAGGCACCTCCAGTCCTGGGGTCAGTTTTGGGCCCCTCACGACAAGAAGGAAAAGAAGCGTGTTCAAAGAAAGGCGATGGAGCTGGGAAAGGGGCTGGAGCCCAAGTCTGATGAGTGACTGAGGGAGCTGAGGGGGCTCAGCCTGGAGAAACGGAGGCTCAGAGAGGACCTTCTTGCTCTCTACAATTCCCTGACAGGAGGGTGGAGCTAGGCCAGGGTCAGGATCTTCTCCCAGATAACTAGTGATAGGACAACAGGAAATGGCCTCAAGTTGCACCAGTTGGAGGTTCAGGTTGGATGTTAGGAACAATTTCTTATTGAAAGAGTGGTTAAGCATTGGAACAGGGGTCCCAGCGCAGTGGTGGAGTCACCACTTCTGGAAATGTTCAAGAAATGACCGGACGTGGCACTTTGCGATATGGTTTAGTGGGCATGGGGTTATTTGGTCAAAAGTTGGAGTTGATGATCTTGGAGGTCTTTTCCAACCTTAATGATTCTATGATTCCATCTGCAGGGAGCTCAGCTCCTGTGCCCACAGAGTACATACACCTTGGGCAGTGGCCAGGGCTGGGGCCGTGGCTTTGGTCAGCCTGTTTTGCTGATGGCGTATGGGAAAGCAGAGTGCACGGATACAGACATGGCTCAGGGGCTCCCTCTCATAGGCTAGTGATAAACCAGATCCCTGCTGGCAAAACTACAGAGAGACATTCTTTGTGGGATAAAGGATATTTGAGTGTATCTTTGAATCTTTTCCACTTTTCCCGAGTCCTGTTCTGAAAGAGAAGCACAGAACCCTGTGATATCCTTGTTCATGTTGTCTCCAGTGACCCTCTCTCCTGATGGTGTGTCAAACTTCTGGAGATACACTCAGTCCCATGGTCTCTCTGAGAACAATTTTTCGTATTTTCTGGGCTCTCCTGTCTGTTTTAATTGCCCTTGGCAGACCACAATCCCGAACTTCTCAGAGTGGGAACCACAGCCTTCTCCTGGTTTGATCTGGAGCTGGGTATTTTCAGATGTGAATGAATGCACTAAAATAGCTGGCCTGCAGAAAACACCTTTCCTTGTCACTCTAACTGGGGTTGTTGTTGATGTCACAGCTGACCTTTCTCTTGTTCTCAGGTGCCTTCTGGGGCTCTTTTTCTATCTGTATAAATCACAACGCTGACTTTGTGCTACATGGGCAGCTTGTAGAACAACACTGACTTGTTTACGAGAGTCAGGACACACGAACAGCAGCCTCAGTGTCTTTCATGTGCTGCTGTGTGTTATTTCAAGACAAAATTTGGCTTTGTGTGCAGGACTGTGTAGGGTCCTGCCGTGCTCTTAGTGCTGTGAAATCTCAAAGTGGTGATGGTCAGTCAGGGGTCAGTCAGGTCAGCTTTGTGCAGAACAGCAACGGCTGAGCGTTGCTGCCAGCTTTGCAGCCAGCTTTGCAGCCAGTGGCACTGCACTGCTGGGACAGCCAGCTCTGCCTTCAGCATTGGCCTTTCCTCCACACCCTGGAGCAAGGAGTAATGCCAGGCAGGGGAAATGGCCAGATTGAGTTGCAGAGTGCGTTTATTCCAAGCTGCCCCATTTTTCTGTCACAGTCAGTGTATCATTGCTGTGTCTGGGCTGCTTCCTACGCACTTCTAGGTGGTGTGCCAGGATCCGTGATGTTCCCATCCGCAGGACAGTCCCAGAGCTCTGTGCCTGCACACTCCTCACACACACAGTGGGCTGGCAGGGCTCAGCCTCATGCAGCTGCTGTGCCACTCCTCTCCTGGGGACAGATTCACCAGGGAAGCTGCTCCCTATAGCCCTGGCCAACGTGTTGCCACAGGCAGGTGTTGGAGAGGCCCCATGGTGGTGTGCAGGGATGAGTGCCTGTTCTAAGACATCTTCTTTTGCCTCTTTCCTATGCCTCGCCTTGCTCCATGCCTGGCTCATCCAGACAGGCCACCGTCCCCTGTCAACGTGACTGTGACACAGCTGAAGGCAAACTCTGCCACAGTCTCCTGGGACGTCCCAGAAGGAGATGTGGTCATCGGCTATGCCATCCTACAGCAGGTATCCAGGCTCTGTCCCCAGGGGGCTGGGGACACTGATTACCAGCATGCTCCTATGTCAGCCCTTTTTCCGCAGTCTGAGGCTCCTCTGGTACCTGCCCAAGGGCACCTGCGCTGCTGAAGTGCCCTTGCCAGGGCGCCCCATCTGAGCCATCCATCCTGGTGGGAGGCAGCAGACCGCAGGCTGCACTGGGAGTAGTCCCTCCAGTAGTTTCTCTGTGATTTCTCTGGATAAAGATCTTGCTTCAGCCATGACATAACCCTTCTTCGCTTGCTTGCTCCACCTGCGCAGCCCTGGATGATAGTGGCTTCTCCAGAGAGACACCTGGCCCTCAAACCATGCAGGGCTGCTGCCTAGCGCAGTGCTGGCTAGCCTGGCCCACCCCAGGGTGGATGGTTGCCTGGGAAGGGAGGAATGAGGGCAGTGTGCCCAGCACAGCCCTGCAGCCTGGGGACTGTGCCTGTTGCAGCCAGGAGCAGCCTCTGGGGGCTGACAGCTCTTCCCTCTGGCAGCGGCAGGACGGGCAGATGCAGCGCTTCATCCGGGAGGTGAACACCACCAACCGTGCCTGCGTGCTGTGGGACCTGGCAGAGGATGCCGACTACATCATCCAGGTGCAGAGCATCGGCCTGTATGGGGAGAGCCAGGCCAGCAAGCGTGTCCACTTCCGCACCCTGAAGGAGACTGACCGCCTGCCTTCCAACAGCTCCAACCAAGGTGAGCTCCTTCCGGCTTGTCCAGGCACTGCTGGTGGGGCCACACCTGGAGGTCTCCACAGCAGACAAGCAGGGATTCAGCGGCCAGTGAGGAAGGTGCTGTCCTGAGCAGCAGGCTGGGGACACACAGGGTTGTACAGGCTGCTGCTTTGTCCATTGTGGCCCTGGTAATGTCCCCAAAGCCCTGGTTTGCAGCCCTCCTGTCCCAGGTCTTGGCACCTATTCGGCTAGGCAGACTGTGGCCAGCACAGCTGCTGCCTGTAGGAAGCCAATACTGAACGGGCTCTCAGATCATCCAGGCTGCAGGCTACCAAAGGAGAAATGACAGAGCCCCATGGTCTCCTTTCCGACCCATGTCCCTGTTGCCTTGGAGTTGCCTACATGCTGGCCCATGAGAGATAATCCAAGAGATGATGCCCAGAGAGGGCACAGGAGTCTGTCTCCAGCACTGAGTATGAGAGGGGGTCTTGAGTATGGTAGGACAAGCAGATGGCTGACTTTCCTCAGAACTTTTCTGTTCAGCTGAGAGCCTTCCTGACCTGCCCTGGCCCCTGCATAGGGAGTGATCTCAGTGATTACTGGCATGCATTGTGCAGTCCCTATGTGAACCCAAACAAGCTGTTGGAATGACTGGCTGCCTTTGTAGCAAGGATAGTTAATCTGACACAGGAAAGCCATAGGATGTGTGTCCTCTCCCCAGCCAGGAGAGAGGATATCCCACACCCATCCTTGTTTGGGGGAAGTGGGTTTCTCTCCTTTGGAGTTCCTCAGATCCTCCAGTGTTGCTATGTGCGAGGGTATCTGTTGCCAGCCCTGCCTAGGGTCTCTTCTCTGCAGGTGACATCACCATGGAAGGGCTGGACAAAGACCGGCAGCTGCAGACAGGCGAGATTATCATCATCGTGGCTGTGCTGCTCATGTGGGCCGGTGAGTGCCACAAGCAGCATTCTGGTGGGCTGGGGCAGAGGTGCAATCCAGGATGCACGAAGAGGATGTGGCTCAAGAGAGTGCAGAGGCACAATGATGTGGGTCTGGCATCCTTTCCAGTAAGTCCATTGAATCTCTGTAGGAGATAGAGCCAGTGGGGTAAAAGGAGCAACCACAGCCACTGCTCAGCTATCATGGCCTGGAGTATGTGGAAGAGCAGGAGACAGTGTGGGACCCAGAATTACAGGGTGGGAGCATCCCACGTGACGGTAACGAGTGGGTGTGTTGCTTGGGCCTTAGCTAGTGGGTCTGACATCTGAGAACACTGCTGCACTGGCTGGTGTAGCTGTAAGGTAGGTGATGTGCTCCTGTACAGCATGATTAAGGCTAGTGCTCCAGCAGACAGCAGGTTGCCCTGGAAGCATGGGAGCCTAGTAGGTAAGTCGGCTCCTGACTAGTGACATGCAGCTGCTATGAATGGGAAGTCATTGGTCCTCTACTCCCTTCCCAGGAAAAGTGGATTTTGTAGTGGTATATTGCAGGAATCTCTCCTTTTCCTGTCCTTGACACTTTTCTAGTGCACTGGAAGAAAATACAAGACAACGTGGCACAGGTTGGTGTGTCAGAGTGCCAACAGGGAGGAGTCAGGCCCACTCTGTGTGCCTGTGTGTTATCACACACACGCTGGAGTTTGACCAGCACAGTCACAGCTGGGGGCATCGCTCCATACTCCTGTGTCCAGGGTCCCCAGGTGTGGGACATGCTGTGTGAGATGGGTGCTGTGAAACCATGGCAAAGTGACTGACTCTACAGCCAGTTTGTACAGACAAAGCCAAGGGCTGGTTTTTGTGAGAGTCACAAGCACTAGCCCTGTAACTTTAGTGCCTTGCTGGAGGTAGTCCAAAACCCATCCAGCTGCTCACTGACCTCACTGTCCCTCTCCAAGTGCCTGAGCATCTGCCCTTGGTGAGCACTGAGCATGTCCCAAGTGCCCCAGTGGCCTTGGCCACTTCCATGCCTGTCTGCCCGAGGAGACTGGCCCAGCCCCACGTGCAGAGGTGCCTTGGGTGGTGCAGGCTGATACATGAAGGGTGTGGGTGTGCAGTACCCTGGGGAGCCCTGGGTGCCACTGCTCTGCAGCTGGGATGCTGCAAGGAGGGGAGGCAGGCACGGCCAGTGCGAGGGAGTCCTTCATCCCATCTTTCAAGGGAGTCCTTCATCCCATCTGTCTTTTGGCAGCGGTGATTGCCCTGTTCTGCAGACAGTATGACATCATCAAGGATAACGACTCCAACAACAACAAAGAGAAGACGAAGCCATCCTCAGAGCACAGCACACCTGAGCGACCGAGCGGAGGGCTGCTGCGGAGCAAGGTGAGAGGGGAGGGCTGGCAGAAGGGATGGCATGGGATGTCTGCTGGGGCTTGTGGCCTCCACAGGTTCTGAATCTCTCCAGAAACAGAAACACTCCAGCTTATGCTCTCACCCTAAAGAGTGAGGAGTTTTAGGGTGCAGTGAGTCCTGGTCTCTTCAGGGCAGTGTGTGTGCCCCATGGGTGATTGCAAGAGAAACACTGGAAGAGACAACAGGATATGTCAGATGGGATGGCTCTTCCCCGGTCTGTCCTCTCACTGTAACAGACCCTTCACCATGCCCCTCCAAGGCTGCACTTCTCCTGCACCAATGGACTGGTCTGGCTCCTGCCTGTTCAGGCAGGAGTGGACAGGCTGGGCAGCTGTTCTTGTGGTTCCTGCACTGGTCTGTCACTGCTTACTTTCTGCCTTCACCACAGCCTACTCCAGGTTATCACCACACGAGTCATTCCAGAGCCCTTTCCCCACCCTGATGGAGATGTTGTGCCAGGCTGTGGATGGGAAGGGAGGAGTACTTTCCCTCAGCACCTGACACTTCTCCTTTGTTACCTGCCAAAGACAGTGATTTATAGCCCTGATGCTCTAATGGGACTGTGTGTTAGGTTTTTGCTTGTGTCTCATCTGCCGCCTCTGTCAATGGTGTTGCCTGACTGCCCCCTCACTGTGTTACCTGACTGCCCCACTGATTCCATATCTTGGTTTCCAGCGGATGTCAGGAGCAGAACCTTCCTGTTGGGACTTCAAGGCCCCAGTTCCCCTCCTCCAGATTTTCCAGCTTCTTGATTACTCCTTGCCAGAGATCCCTCCTCTTGGATCCCTACTGCAAACTGACCCTGCTCTGCTGAGTTCTGCTGGTCTTGGTGCCTGCTGTGGGCTTGGGGGGCTCTGCCAAGGGGTCTGATCCCAGGGGCACAGCAAAGCAGGGCCTTAAAGCAAATTTTTCTCTCATAGAAGAAATCTCCCTCGGTCAATATCATCGAGGTGTAAGTGCAGCACCAGCTCTGCGTCTGGGGTCCTGAGTGTCCTGCTAGAGCCAAAGCAGGCCTTGGAAGAAGAGGCAGCACCAGGCGCCCAGCCTGGAACTCAGCATGCGATGATCCACGTATCAGAACTCCCACTTTCCCGAGGGCACCTGTCCGGGGATGTGCCTGGAGCTGGCTCCCAGTCGTGCATGCAGAGTGTGGCCCTGCCCATCCCGCACCCTGGCCCCGCTCCCTTGCCGCTGCGGAGCACGGAGCTGAGAGCGGGTGGGGGTCCACACCACCGGCTGGGGGGGAGCTGAGGGGAGCCGAGGGGGCAGTGCACTGGCCTGAGGGTGGCCACGTCCCTGGGCACCGGCTTGGTCAAAGCCCTGGGTGCAGCCGTGGCACTGGACGCCTGCCTGGTGTCAGCCCGGGACAGACTTTGCTCTCAGCTGCCTGTCTGGGCTTGGGGGGCTGCCTGTGGAGGACGGGAGTTGCTCCCCTCTGGGCCCTGAGGCTGAGGGGATGGGGCAGTGCAGGCATTGCCCCAGTGCTACCAGGGGAGCTGTGGCCAGGTGGCAGGAGTGTTTGTCTGTGGGGCTGGGCCCAGCCAGCACAGGGGAAGAAGAGTGGATTGCTGCTGGAGAACAGGGCTCCACTGCACTCTGTCATGGCCACACAGGGACTTCGAGGCCTCTCTCTACTACAGAGGACAAAGACACAAATGAGGATGAGAAGTGAGTACTGGCACAGTGCCTGGGCAGGGATTGCTAGTGAGAGCCCCACAGAGCTGGGAGAGTGGGCAGTGCCAGGGCATGGCTGTGGCTGCACCGTGTCTGTAGTAGGGCTCAAATTCAGGCTATTTGTGGGGAGCTGCTGAGCACTCTGTGAGCACAATGCCTGTGCTGCCTGGAGGAGGCAATGTGGTGAGGCCTGCAAGGTCTCAGTTGGAGGGAACAGGATGATACAAGGAGGCTCTCTGCTGCCCTGGCTGCTGCTCTCCCTCCGTGCTCTGCTCTGCAGCCTGCCATGTGCTGGCCCTGCAGCCCTGGACTCAAGCATCACAGGATCCAGCGTCTTCCAGGAATAAACCTCCCAATAAAAGCACTTTCAGGACTCTTCCTTCCAGGTGCTGCTCAGCTCCTGCTGCAGGACTAGGTGGGGAAGGGATGGGATAAGTGACTCCTGTGGCAGGGTCTTTTCAATAAAAGCATCCTGGCTCAAAGGCAGCCTTGTCCCTGCAAAGCTGCAGGTCTTGTGTGTGTCTGTGCACATGTATGTGTATCAGTAGTTGTTGAATACATCTGTCTGGCCCTTAGGAGAAGACCTCTTCCTGCATGCTGGGCAAAAGCTGCAGGTCCTCCAAGGTCACCTTGCACCCCTCTGGCCCTTGAGGGAGAGCCAGTGCTGCATGCTGGGCCATGTTGTGCTGCTGGACCAGTGGCAGGCTGTCCCACTGAGGATGGCATCACAGCTGCGTCTCTGCAGAGAGCAGACATCCTGGCAGCAGGACCAAGAAGGGGACAAGGCCTCACCCTGACAGGCTGCTGGCTGGAGGGGCCTGCACTGCTTTCTGCTCAGGTGAGGAAGGGGGTACCTGAGTGGGGATGGGATGCAACTGCTGCTGGGCTGTACCCTGGGCTGCAGGGAGCATGGTCGCAGCTCCAGAAAGACAAATACCTTGTTTTGCCCACTGGCTTGTTTTTTAGAGTACATTAAAAAAATTAGGGCTGCCAGGGAAATACAAGAGTAGGCAGACACAAAGAATCAAAGGATCATACTACAGCAGAGATGAGGAGCTAGGGAAGGCACAAAAAAATTGTCAAAATGCACTGGTTGGGGCCAAATAAAAAAAGAAACACAAAGATCTGATATTAAATGTAAAAGTAGGATGTGGTATTGAAGCAAAAAAGACTTCCCCCACCCAAAAAAACCCCAAACCACCACTTCTTTCTCAGACCATGGCAGTGCAGGAGGGCAGGGAACTGCAGACATGGGTGCTGGAAGCAGAGGGCCTGACAATGACCTGCTGACTCTAACAACAGTTACGGGTTGCTATGTGCCCTCAGCTGAGGGAGGAAAGGCACGAGACCAGATTCAATATGTGAAACTACGAGTGAGAAAAACAGTACACAGCTCCTGACTGACTCATGGCACCCCAAGCTTCCCCAGTGCCAGCCTTCCCATGGCAGCTGCCTGCGGCACTCGCTGAGACTGGCCCTGCCACCACGGCTGCAGCCAGTGATTGCTGCTTGACTGGGCTGTCAGTGCCAGCAGCCTGAGAAGGGGAGCTATGTGGAGATGTGACAGGAACCCAACAGTGAGGGCCTCAGCCAGAACATAGCTGCAAGCTGTTACTTGACAGAGAGACCAGATGTCCTGATGGCTGCAGCCTCCTCTGCTCTGTCTGGGGAAGGAAACCAAGTGCATGGCTTGCCTGTGCAGAGCACAGCTGGGGTGCAGCAGGGCAGAGGCACTTCAAAGCAGAACAGGCATGTGAGGAGAGGCTGAGACCTGCTGGCACACAGGGGCTCATGTTCACCCTGGCCTCAGCATGGTCAGCATCAGCCCCCATCAGCGCAGGTGACATTCACAGGTGCTCAAGACACCAGTCCAGCACAACCTGAACAGCTCCTCCCAGGTCACAAGGGCACCCTGGGCCCCAGCAGCCCTCAGCACAGGGGGAACAGCTCCCTCACGGCTTGCAGCTGAGGAAGACATGGGAGCTCCAGGGTCCGTGAGCTCAGGGCACAGCGAGCCTCACCACACGCAGTGCAGCAGATACAGTACCCTTCATGCTTGTGCATGGCACCTATCCAGCACTCAAACCTAAACAACAACAGTAAAAAACTTGGTTTATTTCTCTATAAAGGCAGAGCTTTCCTTGAAAAAACCAGCTCGTTTCACTCATGAGAAGGGTGTGGGGCTGAACTGCAGGGGCAAGGCCTTCCTCACACTGCTCCAGGCCAAGAGCTATTGCTCCCTGAGGATGTGCACTGGCTGCATCCAGCAGGCTCAGAGCACCCAGAGTGGTCCTGTGTGGCCTGGGAGCAGGCAGAGCGAGGAGCCCAAGCTGGGAGCAGCTGCAGCTGTAGGCGGTTCATGCAGGCAGAGCAGGACAAGGAGTGGGTGTCACAGCCTGGGCACTCCATGGCAGCAGTGCCGGCAGCCCCCGTGCCCGGAGGGCAGTGCCAGGGTAGGGGCAGGCACTGGCTGTCCCGGGTGCAGGCACAGGGTGAATCCTGAGTGGCTGGTCCATTGTTGCAGAGATTTGGCTTAGCCCAGGGGAGTCTTGGGGCCAGCAGTCCTGGGGCCAGTGGTGGGGAGGTCTCCAACCCCTCCCAGCCCTGTCCAGCTGTCCGGGGGCTGCCCCAGGCGATAGCACAGGAGCTGTGCTGTAGGAGAGCACACTGGGGGCACAAGAGGTGTTAATTCTGAAAAGAGAGAGGAAGACATGGCGGACCATGAGACATGAGGCTGGGAGCCCAGCACAGCATGGGAGGGGAAGCAGACCTTCCCAGGTGAGCATCAACCCCCCCCCCGCAGAGGACATGTTGGGGAATGAGCCAATGCAGCACTGAAGGAAGGAACTTACCTGCTGGGCTGTGGGCTCCCCTCCTCGGCTCCTCCATGCTGCTTTGGAAGAGAACACAACACCTATCATACCCCAAGCATGGCCTCCTGAGAGACACTGCACACTCCTGACCCTGACAAGGCAGGCAGCACTGGGCACTGGGAGTGGAGAAGGCCTTAAGCCCACTTGCTACCAAACTCCCTCCCCAGACCAGCCTGTCCTGAGATTGCATAGCCACATCTCCTTCCCATCAGGAGCCCCATGTCCAAAGGGCCGCCACTTCCTCAGGTTGCACACACAGCTCCTGCCTGTGCATGCACTGGTTCCTGGCTGGCACCAGCTCAGCCCGGGCTCAGCCATGTGGCACTGCCAGACCCCAGCTGGGTCCCACTGCCATGCACATGGAGAACAGCCACGATGAAAAGGCCTCTCACACTCTGCACTTCTGCAAAGACCTGCAGATTAATAGTCCACTGCTGGACTGGTTCCATCAGCTCCTCTACAGACACCATCAAGCTCAGACCACAGCCCCAGTCCATGCAGAAGTCAGCATGACCAAGCCTTCATCCTGGTCCAAGCCCCAGGGAAATCAGTCAGAGGAAGGCGACAACTCTGAGTCCCATCGGAGAGGCATGTCTGGACAGGCTGGCATCAACTAAGAGTGGCAGAAACAGAACAAGAAACATCTCTGGATGCATCCCGGGGGTCACCATCTGTCCCCCACAGCTCCACTGCAAAAGCTGGACTGCAAGGTCTGTCCCTCCATAGCTCAGCCCCCTGTTCACTTGAGCTCTCAACTGACAGAGGCAGAGTGTGAAGCTTCTGCTTGGTCCCATTTAGCTCTCCTCCATGATCCCACCATGCCCATTGCCCCAGCAGCTCCCCTTGCATGGAGCAGAGAAAAGGAAACAAGACGGTGCATCAGAGAGATCTCTGGAAGGAAGAAGCAGCTCACCACCTACCCAGATAAGCTTTCACCGACATTATCATCTTCCTCCTCCTCTTCCTCCTCCTGGCAAGCAAACAAACAAACAAACTACCATGACACCTCACTGCACGGGCAGGTCTCTGCCAGGAGCGAGGCCGGGCCGCTCAGAGCCTGTCTGGAGCAGCAGGGCAGTCCCCAGCCCCTTCACAAGACAGTCACTTCCCCAGACACAGCACAAAGGGTTCCCACAGCAGGAAAGATTTGGGAGTGCTGGACTGCCAGAACCCTCTGGGCTCAAGCACACAGGCACACGAGGAACAGACAGGCCATGGCTCATCCCACGTGCCCTCCAGCAGCAATGCCCCAAACGCAGGTGGTGAGCAGGGACCACACTGCCACAGCTGCTGACACAGCACACTCTGCCCAGGGACAGTGGTGGGTGGGCACACCTTGCAGTGGGAGGGCAGGCAGAGACCACCGTGAGCAGGCTGCACCAGGTACGACCCCAAGCACTGCCAGGCTGGGCCTGCACTGGAAGCATGAGGCCAAGGACCAAGCATCCAGTCTCCTGGGCAGGGACATAGTGAGACTGGCAAGATGGCAATGCTGCAATTGCTGTGGCCATGCAGGAGACACAGTGCAGATGGGCAGGGCTGAGCCTCAGCCCAGGCTGGCAGGATGGTGACCCAAGGGTCCTCTCGTTCAGAGGCAGCTCTCACCCTAGCCATGGCACCAGGTGTGCAGCACAGGTCCCAGCTCCCTGTGTGACAGGGCCAGCAGAGCAGGGATGAGGCTGCAGCAGTGCTGGGCCTGACAGGAGAGCTTCTAGAGCAAAGAGCCCTAGGAACCACAGCTGCTGTGCAAGCACAGTGCTCTTCCTCATGTCGCGCTGCCATGTGTGATGGGGGCTGTGCAGGTATCGACAGGGCCCTGGGAGGGCAGGAGGAGGGAGCTGCATAAGGATCACCCTGTTCCTGCCCTAATTCCAAACAGCCCTGGGCATGGGCCAGACTTGCACATACTGTACCCCAAACTGGTGTCTGAAGGGAGGGCTCCCCTGGGGGGCTGGCTCACGGGGTCTGCCGGGCTCACTGCTCTCCATGACACATGAAGGGTGAAAGGGCTGATCCTGCCTAGAGCCTGGGACAGGGCAAAAGCAGCAGAGTTAGTGCCTGCAACCTGGAAAAAGCCCAGCTGGGGATGTACAGGCAGGACTGTGGGCAAAGGACAGGGAACCCCCACTGTGCTGTGGGGAGGGTGCAAACAAGGGTGGGGGAATCAGTGCTCAGGGCAAGTACCACTGGGTCCTGAGCAGGGCTACAGCTCAGCGATGCAGAGCAGTTCAGCATGGGGAGCAGGGATGCCTCCCACCCCACCCCAGCCAGAGATGGGGCAGTGGCAGAGAACACAGCCATGGGGACAACACTCTCCCTGCCTGGTGTGTTTTATCAGCCAGGCAGTGAGTCAGCTCCCCTCCACACAGCCCAGGACAGGGTCCTACACCAGAGACCTTGATCCTAGGGCTATGCAGAGGGATACATTTGAGAAATTCCTCCTACCTGCATGTGTTGCTTCCCAGAGATCCAGTGCCATCTGGAAGGCCTGGGCCACGGTCAGAGTCACAGCCTGTGCCTATGTACATGAAGGAGAGGGAACATCTGCTTCCATCTGGGCCCTCAAGCCAGGACAACCCCACTGCCATGAAATCCCAGACCCCCCAGCATCCCTCACTGCCTTTTCCTGCAGAATATACAGATGGAAAGCCAGAGCTCACTACTATGTCTGTCTCCTCCTGGAGGACAGCCACCCCCAAGAGGAGACCCCCAGGAGCTGAGACAGGAAACTACCCTTTGCTCACTCCCTGCACACCTGCTCCCTGGCTCCAAATCCAGCTGAGATACGTAGAGGGAAGGGCCTCTCACCAGAGAGGGAGAAGGCAGGGCCTTGTTCCCACCCTTACCTCACAGAGCCAAGAGCAGAAGAGAAGTGCTTACAATCTTCTTCTTGGGTGAGAGGAAGGCATGGCACTCTAGTGCCCCACTCTCCTGGCTCTGGGCAACGTAAGCGAAGACTTTGTTCTGCAGCTTGTCTGTTGTGCAGTAGGAGATCCTGTGGAGAGAAGAGCTGTCAGGGCACTCTGGGGCCTCAGCACAGGGCGTCTGCTGCACTCCCAGCACATCAGCAAGCACTGCTGACAACCTGAGGCTGTCACCTGCCCGAGCTGTCCAGGCAGCCCAAACCCCTAGCAAGGGCCTGAGACTGCTTGGCACCTGCAGCAGGTAAGAGATCACTGGATCCACAGGCATTCTCTCCTGCACCACCCAAGTGTGCTCTGTGGTCCTCTGATGCCCAGATCAGCCCAATGTGTGAACTCAAGCATTGAGATAAGGGGAGCACAGAAGGGTGACTGCTTCCGAGGACACAACTGGAGGTCAGACAGAGGGATGGTCCAAATTTTACAGCAAAGAGATGTCCTGTCTCTGTTTCCCATCTAGCCACCAGTCTGCAGCCATGCTCCCCTCACACCCAGCACCCACAGACACCCAACCCAGCCAAAGCACAGCTTGCAGCAGGAAAAATCAACATCAGCTCTCATAGGAACTACTTTTAGGCAGCCCAAATAAGCCGCACTTTCTGGCATCCTTCAGCCAGAAGGGTAGTCCCAGCAGTGGTGGCAGACATGCAGTAACTGTGAGGCTTTCCAACCACCAGCTTCAACATCCTGCTGACTGCCAGAAGAGACAAGCAGGGCACAAGGAGATGATGGATGGGCAGATGAACTCAAGGTCACCCAGGACTGCACTCAGCCCCAGGCAGCGCTGGGAGCACAGCAGGGAGAGGGCACAGGCCTCAGGGAGCCAAAGGAAGACCTAAGCTTGAAGGTACTGCTGAGAAAAGGCCCAGCCCTCCCTGTCTGCCCAACATCTCAGCTGGCTGCTGGGGAACCCCTGGGGCCCCCCCACACCATGCCCACCTGTAGATAGAGACGTTCTCCACCATTTCCTTTGTGTCTGCATCCTGCAGAGAGATGCCCCTCGGAGACACTGTCAGAATCACCTTCTGGAACTTGCGAGCTCCCACCCGTGCCTGGCAGTGGGAAGACACCAGTAATCTCTGCAAACCTGGCAAGGGTCTTCACCTCACCCCTTGCTGGAAGGAGCCTCCCACACTCTGTACAGTGTCACCCACTTGGACCCTTGCTGCAAAGGCTCCTGCAGTAGGGATGGGACAGCAGAGCCTGGAGATCAGGCATGCCCTGCACAGAACACTCTTGAAATCTCTTCACACTACTGCCATGCACACAGGAAGGGACAGATCCCACCTCCTCCAGTACTTCACCCTCTCCTCCGTGCTGTGGCAGGCACAGCTCTGCTCCCAGCTGGGCTCAGGTGTGGGAGCAGGTGGCGGGGACTGTCCTGCAGGAAGGCTGCTTCCCCACAGCACACAGGCAGAGAAGAGCAGCCTCCTGCACACCACCCTACTCCTGGGAAGGGCATAGTCCCTGGAGCTCAGGGCTAAGACACGGACACTTCTTGGCATTCAGGGGCTGGGCTCTGACCCTGGAATAGCAGGGCCCCAGGGCTGAGTCTCACCGTGGCCACAATCCTGCGAATGGCAGCAGCAGCCATGTCTTCTCCTTTTGGTTTTTCTACCAGAGTCATGCCTAGATACTTCAGGGTGAAGCACATTCCCTCAAGCAGTGGCTCCTGCATATCGGCCCAGCTCTCAGGAAGCTCTGCAAAGACAAAACCCCATGGAAGCCATGTGCCAGCGGCCTCACAGCTAGTGCCCGCAGAGCCACCCCACCTTGTTGAAGCTTCAGAGTTCCCCACAGCAGTGCTGCTCCCTGACCTCGGCAGGACACTCTCCTGGCTCTGTGACACTCTCATAAGAGGAACAGAAGAAGACAGTTCACCCTCAAAGCTTTAGTCCTCCAGCCCTGGATGTGCAGGCTTTGTCAGCACAGGCAGACAGCTCCTGCATATCTGCACACAACTGAGGATGCTACAGTGCTCACTGCTATCTGCACAAACCTTGTGTTCCTGGTTCTCATTTGTTTTGTTACAAATGAAATGTTCTCAGTGGTGCATCCACCTCACCCACCTGAGCTGCTGGCACACCTCAGGAGCAGCAGCAATCAGTGCCACACGCAGATCAAAAACCCCAGGTTGCCCCAGTGTAAGCAAAGCAGGCTGCCAGGGAAGGAAGGGGAAGCTTGGCCAGCACTCGGGATCCAAGCTGCAGTAACTAGGAAGCAACCGCACCTCAGAGATGCTGTGTTAAGAAAGAGCTGGGAATTGCCTCGGTATGTACTGTTCATGCTAAGCTAATACTTTTCAGGGTTATTTTCACCTCTTCCCTGGGATTAGCTCCCTGAGCATTACTGGCACACTTGCAGAAGGGTCCAACTCATAATTGGAATAATCTGAACCCACAGGGAAATCAGGAGACCTTATTTGCACAGCATACTCCTGCACAAGTGACAACTACCAGGGAGCCTGCCTGGTGCCATGCAGACACTGGTGACCTCCACCCCAGGCAGAAGAGTCCTATGTCACTGAACTCTGAGGACTGTCCATGCATGCCAAGGTGAGCACTGTTGCTCCAAAAGACTTTGGGCAGCTGTGACTGAGAACAGCCAGACACAGCCCTCCCTTGCCACGGGGTGCCTGAGGGGGTCATGAAATCATGGAGTGGTTTGGGTGGGAAAGGACCTTCAAGCTCATCCAGTTCCACCCCCTGCCATGGGCAGGGACACCTTCCACCATCACAGGTTGCTCCAAGCCCCGTCCAGCCTGGCCTCGAACACTTCCAGAGATGGGTCCGCGGGTCGGACAGCACGGACAGGCCTGGCACACTCGCTGCAGACCGGGGAGGGCTCCGGTGCAGCCCAGCGTGTTCCAGCTCCTGGCGCGGCCGCCCGGGCCCGTCAGCCCCTGGTGCGGGCGGCCTCGGTTCATAAGCGGCGGCTGCCAGGAGAGCGGGGCAGGGAGAGCCTGGCGAGCCGCCGCAGCGCCGCTGTGTCCCCTGCCCGGCAGTGCCCCGGCCCCTCGGCCCGGCTCTCCAGCCCCTCGCCCTGAGGCTCCAGGTCCCGGCGCAGCCGCACCCCCACCGCTCCCTTCGGAGGGCAGCGGCCGCATCCGAGACCGACCGCGCCGAGCTGCGAGCTCCCTTCCCGGAGCGATGCCCGGCCCCTGCCCGCTCCCCTCCCGGAGCGATGCCCGGCCCCTGCCCGCTCCCTTCCCGGAGCGATGCCCGGCCCCTGCCCGCTCCCTTCCCGGAGCGATGCCCGGCCCCTGCCCGCTCCCCGCCCGGAGCGGTGCCCGCTCGCACTCACTGCGCCGCCGGCGGAGCCCCAGGCCGTGCCGGGCGAGGCGCGGGCTCCGCAGCACTGCGCGCCCCGCCGCCCGCAGCGCCTCCATGGCGGAGCCGGAGCTGGAGCCGAGCCGAACCGAGCCAAGGCGAGCCCCGCCGCTGTCGGCGGGGGGGTCGGTCCCCGCGGGCTCGGCGCACTCGCGTCAGCGCGGCGCTGGCGCCGGGGTTGCCGCGGCAACGGGGGTGGGCCGAGGCGGAGCCGGCGGCGGCAGCGGCAGCCAGGCGGGCCTGTGGGACCCTCGCGGGCCCGTGGGACCCTCCCGGCCCCGGCCCCGGCCCCGGCCCCGGAGTAGGGCGCGATGCAGCTGCGGCACGTGCGGACCCTGCTAACCCCGCAGGTCGGGCTGGGCTGGGCAGGCCGGGCCGGGCCGGGTCGGGCTGGGGAGGAACGGGGGAGCGGGCCGGGCCCTCCGCTGTGTGCCCGCTGAGCTGTGTGTGCCCGCAGGACGGGACGGCTCGGGTGACCTGCATGGCCTGGTCCGCCAGCAGCTCCCGGTTCGCCGTGTGCACCGCGGAGCGCGTGGTGCTGCTCTACGACGAGCAAGGCGAGCGGCGCGACAAGTTCTCCACCAAGCCGGCCGACGCCAAGGTGAGGGGCCCGAGGCCGGACGGCGCCGGGGCTGCCGACCTTCCCACGCTCACTCCGACTCTCTCTGCAGTACGGCAGGAAGAGCTACGTGGTCAAAGGCATGGCCTTCTCCCCAGACTCCACCAAACTGGCCGTCGGGCAGACGGACAACATTGTCTACGTGTACAGGATCGGCGAGGAGTGGTGAGTCTGCGGTGGGGTCCAGCACGCTCCATCCCGCCCTGCTGTGGGCTCCCCGGGCCTGATCCTCTCCCTGGCACACTCTGCAGCGCCCATCACCTACTCGCAGGGAGTCACCCAGGTGTCCGTGGGGAACAGCAGGTGAGGTTTCCTTGGCACAGCCCCTCTGGAGCCCTGTCAGTGCGTGCAGCCATCTGGAGCCTGGGCTGTCTTCCCCTGTGTCACAGATGTGTAGCTGTGGCACACGCCTGCCCCGCTGCAACTTCATTTGCTGGCATGAGTTGTGCCAAATACACAGAAAGGCAGATAACCAGAATTTTGGAAGCTCAGAAATTTGGGTTCTTTTTGATGTTCTGCCTAAAGTTGTGATAAACAAGCAGCATGCAGAAGTTCAGCAGCTTGTGTTTGGGAGTACCAAAGCAGACTGCATACAAATGGTGGGGTGACCAGAATGGGCAGTATTGCCAGCCTTGCTGATAGTAATTTTTGTCTACCTTTTTCTGCAGGGGTGACAAGAAGGTAATATGCAACAAGTTCATCCAAACGGTGAGACTCTGACTCCTGTTTGACTCCATTTTCTCCAACATATGTAGGAAAAGACAAACTTGACCAAACTGTACTTGACCTCCAAAAGATGCAGGTAGATCCTAAGAGAATCTCTAAATTTTGAGGCATGTATTGCTCACCAAGCTTCAGAGACCTCCTAATTCCTGGGTACAACACCATAGTCAATTGTTGAACGATCAATGCAGTCAGTTACAAAACTTTGGAGACTACTTTAGGCATCAGTGGACAGAATATTTCAGGGGAATTGAAAGGGAAAACCAGAAGAGACTCAGTGCCCAACTATTTTTCACAGGTTAGCAACTCTAAATCCCAAGATTCCTTTTTAAATAAAATGTAAAGGATGCAGAATTCAAACTATGCGGTTTCCACATGCTCTCAGGAGAAGGGCAGCCTCAGCCTGTGGGTTGAAAGCCTACATCTCAAAGTTGAGTCACGGCCCACCACTGTGGCTGCTTTTAGGGTGGCTCAGGAGGCCCTCCTGGCCTCTCTGAGTGCTCCCTTCTGGCTGTGGGAGGGGAGCTCTTGGAATTCTGTGGCTCGGGCAATAAGAAAGCTGCTGGTCAGCCTCTGTTTCTCTGTGGCTGAGCTTCTGCACTGAGTGGTCATGACACTGGAATAGTGTGTCATGAGGAAAAGAGAGCAACAGGGGCTTGGTGTCCTTTTGTCCCTTTCCTGAACAGGGTGGTTATCACAGGTGTGGACACCTGTAGCCTCCCTGGAGAGCCCTTTCCTTGTGTACTGCTGGCTGCCCACCCCTCTGGCTGGCAGCCTGGTGGGAGCCTGCTCGCCTCTCACAAGCTCGGATGCTTTGCGCAGCATGCATACAAGTTTTTGTATTTTTAATGTAGCAACTCAGTGATTTTTTTTTCCTCTCATTCTCTCATTTCTCCATGCCTTTTCTACCACTTCTAACGAAATAAATCCTTTATTTTTTCTTGTGCTATATGTGTGGGTTTTTACCCCTGTGTCCAGCTTTCTCCTGTTATTCACAAATTTTTCATGTGTTCAGTCAATATGAGACATCGTTTATTGATCTCTTTCCTTCTCCTGCCACTGGGCATTGTTACACACCCAGTGATCACAGTGGCAGTATTCAGCCCTGCTGGCAAGCCAGGCCTCCTGCTTGAGGGCTGGGACAAGTGTGTGCAATTGTGACTGCCTTGCAGAAGCAGTGAGCAAATCCCCACTCGTGAGGCTTGTTCCCAAGCTTTTGTTGTGTTAGACTGAAAACAAGAGTCTGCCAGATAATGAGGGAAATACAGGAAACAGTGGTAATGAAAATGTGTCTTGGTCATTGATTGTGCATCTTAATTATGAACAGTTTGGGTACCATGGGACATTTTGTTGCCTGATTGTAGCTGTGTTTGCTGATAGGAATGATCAGAATGGGGATAGAAGGTGAAATGAGTAAATGAGGGTGTATATGTATCTAAAGCATCCCAGATGCTTAAGATGGGACAGAAGAGCCAGTGAAACTGGTGCTGGTGGCACAGAGACGAACACCAGCCTTCTTACTGACTGGAGTTCTGCAGGGTAAATGTGAAGGGCTTTCATTAACTCTCTTGGCCCTTTCCTACAGTTGGGTTTTTGCGGTCGGCTTTATTTATCCTGATCCCACCTCAGATTTTGGGAATTTGGAACCAAATTTTGGTTTGTATTTAGTAGTGGCAAATAACAATATTGCTTGTCAACGAAAAAATAAAGGCTATTTCTGATACATCAAATGAAGATCCAAAGTGCAAGTATTCTCATAGCTATTAGAGAAACTGGCAGTCACATTATTTTTATGTTTTATACTTGTTGCAAAAAACTTTTTAAAACATCCATGATTTTTTACATTCAGCCACAGCACATGGAAAAACACATCCCTGTTCAGTAAGTAATGCTCTCAGAAGAGCTCCATTCTGAACACATCCGTGTCACTTTGTTGCCCTCCCTTAGCCCTTCTGAGCCCATTACTTTGCCCTAACTCACTATTATCTAGTTTAAACTTCAGCGTGCAGGGCCTCAGCCCTACTGTAAGGCCTGCCAAATGGCCCATCTCTCCTGGCCTGAGTGGTGTCAGTGTTCATGAGCTGTCTTAGGTGGAAATGGGGCAGGAAGCTGAGTAGGATGGAGCTCCTAACCTCTCTTTTTACCTCCTCCTTGGCAGAGTGCCGTAACCTGCTTATTGTGGCCAGCGGAGAATGTCATTGTCTTTGGTCTTGCTGAAGGAAAGGTAGAGAAACTTGTTATTTGCCTGGGTTTTTTTTCCATGCTGAGTTTGCCAGGGCGTGCAAGCACCTGGGCTGTGCAGGTAAGAGCTATCAACATGTGGCACTGAGCACGGAATAGCAACAAAGAGATTGCACTGTGGACTTGAATCTTCTGATTCCCAGCTAGTCCTTGGAGGTTCTACTGGATCACTTGGTTCTTTTCCCAAGCCTTTCTAGAAATGTGGAAGTGTGACTCCAACTTTTCTGCTTCTCCAGCCTCCTAGAAGGCAGTGAGCTTCCTGTGATTTCTGGTGCTGGTCATGGACTGGGAAGCCTCTGGGGATGTTACACTGGGGAAGATCCACCTTCTGCAGACAGAAGCAACATTGATCAGATTCTCTCTCTCAGGTTCGTTTAGCAAATACAAAGAACAACAAGTCTTCCACCATTTATGGGACAGATTCCTACGTGGTCTCGCTAACTTCCAAGT